TTAATAAAATATATATATATATATATTAACTATTTTAAATGACTACTTTCTTGAATTGGAAGAAAATCCATGGAAATTTCCATTCGATGTTAGAGAGAGGAAAATTGAAGAGAATTTTCCATTTTATTTATCAAACAGTACATGCGAATGTAATCTTAGTTTGAAAAGTTCTTAATAATTTTCTTTTATCGTTCAGAATTGTGTTCGTGACCGATTAACACTCGGTATCAGTACTAAAGGTACAACATCAAGGAATTTTTCGTGGGTGGTCTATCCCGAATATTTTGGGCCTTCACTACCTGGCTATTGGCCGCAATGAGAGAGGCCGAGGATAGTTCAAATATTATTTAAGAAATCAAAAAACAATGAAATTGTTATCCCGAAAATTAATTTATTTTAGTCGGAACTTCCTCCTTTTTTCGAAAAAATGATGTAATAAAGACTGAATTAATCTTTATTCCAGTCAGAAATTAATTCAACATCCTGTTTGCATATGTCCTCATGATTTTCAATAAAAGCTTTTTCCTCTTGTATTGTTTGCTTTACAATTTCAATTGAATTTTTCTAAAATAGCAATCAATTTAATTTGTGCATTGAAAAAAACGTAATTTGTATATGTCTAAACTAACGTAGTCAGAATCACGAAATATACTAATACTAATCAATCATTGATGTTTCTTTAATGAATAGGTACAGCTCTGAACACTGTACTAGGTAAGTGATATTTTGAATCATTTCGCTTGTAAAAAATGATTTTTTTTAAATTAATTAATTTTTTTCGAAACTAAGACAATGTCCATTAATGTATCAACCGACATTTGGTCGGATAGATTCCTGCGACAACTCAGTTGGAAGCGTTGCCGTATAAGATGCCAACCCGGTTACGAATTACTCGGAAATTCAATCTTAAAGTGTAATCAAGATGAAGTTTGGTCGGAAAATCCACCGTCTTGCATAGGTGCGTTAGCTCTAGATTCCTGGTTTTTATGAAATACAAACTGATACCAATATTTATTTTAAATTTAGATTGACAAATTGTATGTAGACAAACTCTTACCCTTCCTCCTCATGCCGAATTACCTCAAAATTGTCCGAATTATTTGGTTTCTCAGTGCCGATTGAGATGTAAAAGAGGTTACGCTCTGGTTGGAAACGGAGCCGTCACTTGCAATGTCGACGGGGAAGATGCAATTTGGATAGTAAATCCGGGACAATGCAGAAGTAAGAATATAATTAATTAATTATGGATGGGCCAAATGTTTAATTTATTAAAAAAAAAAAAATTCCAGGAGTTCGTTGCCGCAAACTACGCAGTCCTAACAACGGTTATTTCGTCAATAAATGTAAAAGAAATGTGGGTGAGCAATGTGTAATTGGATGTCGACCTCCGTATATCGTCGGCGCCAACGTTCGTAGATGCCTTCCTAATGGAAGATGGACTGGCGCATGTAATGCATGCAGTAAGTGAAATACTAAATCCAAGTTTTATTTGACATTCCTGGTTAGTGAATATTCCTAATTTCGTAGTCATGGGAGAGCAATGTCCATCAATTACTGGCTTGAATGGACGACAGTTATCCGGAGTTTGTCAACCTGGTATTATTGGAGAAAGTTGCCAGTTTTCTTGTAACGCGGGATATCAATTAATTGGACTAAGCAATATTTTATGTTTGAGAAACGGATCTTGGTCGGGGCCACCACCGACGTGTCAAAGTATCACGTCGTAATGTTTTCATCTTGTTTTGATAAAAGTGCGTCTAATTTAAAATTTTCTTTCTTCAAAATTACTTAGTTATTGCTTGTCCTTCGCTTCCTGTTCCTCAAAATGGTAAATACAATGGAATATGTTTTCCCGGTCAACCCAATCAATGGTGTAACTTCAAATGTAACGAAAATTATACTTTATCTGGCAGTAGCAATTTATTATGTCAAGCCAACGGAACTTGGTCAAATGCGCCACTCACCTATCAAGGTAAATTAAGTTTATCCATTCATTAAATTTTAAGATTGGCCGGATAAATAAAAACTATTGTTTTATTTAGTTAGTAACTGTCCAGCAATTACAAATACCGAAGAAGGTATCATCAGCGGAACGTGTAGTCCTGGAATAGTTGGTCAGTCGTGTTACTTCAGCTGTAAATCCGGTTACAATCTGATAGGTCCTAATAGTATTGTTTGTCGAGCCGGTGGAATTTGGTCAATGGATTCTCCTTATTGCAAAAGTATAATGCATTTTCAGTTTAGAATTTAAAATTTTTTAAGAAATGTAATATTATTTCTGTAATTTAGAGGTGAATTGTCCGCCATTGAATGCGCCTGCAAATGGAATTCAAAGCTGAGTATGTTCCCCGGGAGAAATTGGTCAGTGGTGTTATTTTCAATACAACAATGGATTTGCTCTATTCGGAAATGAAAATCTATTATGTCAAGCTGGCGGTATCTGGTCTGGCACTCCTCCGTTATGCCAACGTATGTATTCTATGTTTACAGTCACAAAACATTTATTTTATTCACTCTAACACGGTTTTAAAATATTTTTAAGGAAGAACTATATGCCTCGTAATTCAGCTCCCTAATAATGCAAATTTAGTAAACTGTAACAACGAAGTGGGAGGAGTATGCGTTGTGAAATGCAATCAAGGATACATCCAGTCCGGATCAAATTCGTTGGTGTGTTTTGGCCAACGGTCAATGGAGTGGAAATATACCAATATGTAAACGTCGTTACGTAACAACGACGACAACAACTTATTTTGTAGTTCCGTTATGGGTTATTTGGCTCGGAAAACGATAATTCTTTTTAGTAAATTTATTTAAATCTCTGCATTAATTTTTTAATAAATCAAAATGAATCTTGATTTAAAAGTTTTTATATTAATATATATATATACACAATCAAATTAAAAAGTAACGCTGAGTTAGAGGCAGTCTCGATAATGAAGAACAAGTTAAATATTGCCACTCTTCATCTTCTCGAAGCATGTTAAAATAGCAATCAATTTAATTTGTGCATTGAAAAAAACGTAATTTGTATATGTCTAAACTAACGTAGTCAGAATCACGAAATATACTAATACTANCCTGAGGACTGTGCTGGGGTGTTAAACTGCTGGCCATGGTTGAGAAGACAGGTCATCCTGTCTCAACCTGACTGCAGGTGTACTCTGGTGTAACTACTTCCTCTCTTGATGAAGCACAAGATCCTGAAAAGAATGAAAGGAAATTGTTAAGTGATTAATATATATATATACACAATCAAATTAAAAAGTAACGCTGAGTTAGAGGCAGTCTCGATAATGAAGAACAAGTTAAATATTGCCACTCTTCATCTTCTCGAAGCATGTACACTTTATAAGTCTCCGGGTCAACTGTAATACAAAAAGTATATAATTCTTAATGGCGTGATTTCAAACTATATAGTAGTAGTATCGTAAAAATTTTAAGTTTACTTTTCAGTTTCGGCAAGCTATCATTAAGGCCTGTTTGCATATGTCCTCATGATTTTCAATAAAAGCTTTTTCCTCTTGTATTGTTTGCTTTACAATTTCAATTGAATTTTTCTAAAATAGCAATCAATTTAATTTGTGCATTGAAAAAAACGTAATTTGTATATGTCTAAACTAACGTAGTCAGAATCACGAAATATACTAATACTAATCAATCATTGATGTTTCTTTAATGAATAGGTACAGCTCTGAACACTGTACTAGGTAAGTGATATTTTGAATCATTTCGCTTGTAAAAAATGATTTTTTTTAAATTAATTAATTTTTTTCGAAACTAAGACAATGTCCATTAATGTATCAACCGACATTTGGTCGGATAGATTCCTGCGACAACTCAGTTGGAAGCGTTGCCGTATAAGATGCCAACCCGGTTACGAATTACTCGGAAATTCAATCTTAAAGTGTAATCAAGATGAAGTTTGGTCGGAAAATCCACCGTCTTGCATAGGTGCGTTAGCTCTAGATTCCTGGTTTTTATGAAATACAAACTGATACCAATATTTATTTTAAATTTAGATTGACAAATTGTATGTAGACAAACTCTTACCCTTCCTCCTCATGCCGAATTACCTCAAAATTGTCCGAATTATTTGGTTTCTCAGTGCCGATTGAGATGTAAAAGAGGTTACGCTCTGGTTGGAAACGGAGCCGTCACTTGCAATGTCGACGGGGAAGATGCAATTTGGATAGTAAATCCGGGACAATGCAGAAGTAAGAATATAATTAATTAATTATGGATGGGCCAAATGTTTAATTTATTAAAAAAAAAAAAATTCCAGGAGTTCGTTGCCGCAAACTACGCAGTCCTAACAACGGTTATTTCGTCAATAAATGTAAAAGAAATGTGGGTGAGCAATGTGTAATTGGATGTCGACCTCCGTATATCGTCGGCGCCAACGTTCGTAGATGCCTTCCTAATGGAAGATGGACTGGCGCATGTAATGCATGCAGTAAGTGAAATACTAAATCCAAGTTTTATTTGACATTCCTGGTTAGTGAATATTCCTAATTTCGTAGTCATGGGAGAGCAATGTCCATCAATTACTGGCTTGAATGGACGACAGTTATCCGGAGTTTGTCAACCTGGTATTATTGGAGAAAGTTGCCAGTTTTCTTGTAACGCGGGATATCAATTAATTGGACTAAGCAATATTTTATGTTTGAGAAACGGATCTTGGTCGGGGCCACCACCGACGTGTCAAAGTATCACGTCGTAATGTTTTCATCTTGTTTTGATAAAAGTGCGTCTAATTTAAAATTTTCTTTCTTCAAAATTACTTAGTTATTGCTTGTCCTTCGCTTCCTGTTCCTCAAAATGGTAAATACAATGGAATATGTTTTCCCGGTCAACCCAATCAATGGTGTAACTTCAAATGTAACGAAAATTATACTTTATCTGGCAGTAGCAATTTATTATGTCAAGCCAACGGAACTTGGTCAAATGCGCCACTCACCTATCAAGGTAAATTAAGTTTATCCATTCATTAAATTTTAAGATTGGCCGGATAAATAAAAACTATTGTTTTATTTAGTTAGTAACTGTCCAGCAATTACAAATACCGAAGAAGGTATCATCAGCGGAACGTGTAGTCCTGGAATAGTTGGTCAGTCGTGTTACTTCAGCTGTAAATCCGGTTACAATCTGATAGGTCCTAATAGTATTGTTTGTCGAGCCGGTGGAATTTGGTCAATGGATTCTCCTTATTGCAAAAGTATAATGCATTTTCAGTTTAGAATTTAAAATTTTTTAAGAAATGTAATATTATTTCTGTAATTTAGAGGTGAATTGTCCGCCATTGAATGCGCCTGCAAATGGAATTCAAAGCTGAGTATGTTCCCCGGGAGAAATTGGTCAGTGGTGTTATTTTCAATACAACAATGGATTTGCTCTATTCGGAAATGAAAATCTATTATGTCAAGCTGGCGGTATCTGGTCTGGCACTCCTCCGTTATGCCAACGTATGTATTCTATGTTTACAGTCACAAAACATTTATTTTATTCACTCTAACACGGTTTTAAAATATTTTTAAGGAAGAACTATATGCCTCGTAATTCAGCTCCCTAATAATGCAAATTTAGTAAACTGTAACAACGAAGTGGGAGGAGTATGCGTTGTGAAATGCAATCAAGGATACATCCAGTCCGGATCAAATTCGTTGGTGTGTTTTGGCCAACGGTCAATGGAGTGGAAATATACCAATATGTAAACGTCGTTACGTAACAACGACGACAACAACTTATTTTGTAGTTCCGTTATGGGTTATTTGGCTCGGAAAACGATAATTCTTTTTAGTAAATTTATTTAAATCTCTGCATTAATTTTTTAATAAATCAAAATGAATCTTGATTTAAAAGTTTTTATATTAATATATATATATACACAATCAAATTAAAAAGTAACGCTGAGTTAGAGGCAGTCTCGATAATGAAGAACAAGTTAAATATTGCCACTCTTCATCTTCTCGAAGCATGTACACTTTATAAGTCTCCGGGTCAACTGTAATACAAAAAGTATATAATTCTTAATGGCGTGATTTCAAACTATATAGTAGTAGTATCGTAAAAATTTTAAGTTTACTTTTCAGTTTCGGCAAGCTATCATTAAGGATCATGTCCTTCTTAGTAAGATTTCTACAGCCAGATACTGCTGCGATTTCCTTATCCAAACCGTATGTTTTAACAATTCCTCTTTCCACCGAGAGCTTGAAAATGCGTTATAAAGTTTTATTGGTTATTATTATTTTCGGAAATATTAATAATAAAACTGATAACAACCTTCGAAACAAATATTATGGAATTTGGTCCAACGGATTTGCTGTAGGATCCAAACATTTTCCGTTGGATTACAGGTTCCGGAGTAGGAATAGATGCGTTTGCTAATCCTGAAACCAAATTTTAGTTATAACTAGAGAACAATTTAACTAAATTAGCGTATGTACCTACCTATTTGTGCTAACGCTATTTGTCCACCCTTAATAACCATCTGTGGTTTGGCACCAAAGAATGCCGGATGACACAACACCAAATCGGCTAACTTACCAACCTAAAAATATAAATGAACATCGTTTATATGGTGGTTAGTAATTTTTCAATTTTTTTAAAATACATTTACTTCTATTGAACCAATATAATTTTGAATTCCATGAGCGATGGCGGGATTAATGGTATATTTTGCAACGTATCTTTTAGCTCGGAAATTATCGTTATCGCCAACTTCTTCCGGAAGAGGACCGAATTGCTTTTTCATCTTATCCGCAGTTTGCCAAGTGCGTGTAATCATTTCTCCAATACGGCCCATTGCCTAAAAATAGAATTATCTAATTTGTTTCGTGGTACAAAATTAAAAATAATTTTGCTGCAATTGATATGCCGTACTTGAGAATCCGAAGACATCATACTTATGGCTCCAATATCGTGTAAAATGTCTTCTGCAGCAATAGTTTCGGCTCGGATACGAGATTCCGCGAAAGCAACATCTTCCTTTAATTCCCTATTACAACACTTGATTTATCTAACGAAAACAAATACGCGTGACAAATTTATTGAAATTCTTACTTATTTAGATGGTGGCAAACCATCAACATATCTAAATGTTCGTCCAGAGTATTGATAGTGTAGGGACGGGTAGGATTTGTAGAGGAAGGAAGAACGTTTGGTTCGCTACAGATTTTAAGTATATCCGGAGCGTGTCGTCCACCCGCTCCTTCACTGTGATACGAATGGATTGTTCTATGATCAATCGCTTCGATCGTTTCTTCCACGCACGAAGATTCATTTAACGTATCCGTGTGAATCATGACCTAAACATGGATAATTTTCTTGAGTAGTTTATATCTTAAATATAAATTTGCACAGACAGAAAAGAATATAAAATATTAAATATCAATATATTCTAGGGCAGATATACATTCCAATTAAACATAATGAAAATTTGAATACACTAGAAAACTCAAAACACATTGAAAAAGACTATTTACAAAAATATATTAATATTTTCGAGTCTATCATTAAATCCTTTTTTACACAAACCACAGAAGACACAGTTACATTGGTTAGAAGATAAAACTTCTGTGGTTTGTGTAAAAAGGATTTAATGATAGACTCGAAAATATTAATATATTTTTGTAAATAGTCTAACTTCAAGAATTAAAATATTGAAGAATGTCCTGAGTCAACATTGAAAATTGTGAACATTGAAAAAGGTTGTAATATACGCGAAAATAACTGTTTACAGTAAAAACACTGATTTAAAATAGGTTACGTGTATATTAATAGGTTCAAATTCTACATTTTTAAATAGAAAACTTCACATTTCAACATTTAAGTCGATTCCATGTGATATTCTAAAATACTCCAAATACTTTCATAATGGATAAAAGA